TATTGACCTTATCTTATTTATATTTGGTAGTATTTATTTACTTGATAATATTTGACATATCCTTATAAAATATGTGACATGGATCATACAAGTTTATGGAATGCATGATATTTATTTTATTTAAATATATTGATGAGAAAATGGTTTAAAGTAAAGGAAGATAATGGTTCAAGCACTTTCCATAATGTTGATGGCTCATCTATGGAATGGATGGCTCAGATCTTTCACCCCACAAGTCACCTTGATCAACGGTCTAGATTCAATCTCATGAAAGAAACAAACTATGGGAAAATCCTAAGAAATCCTAAACCTAAATGTCCACTATAAATAGGGGTGCTCTCCTCCCAATTTGTACACCTCTCTCTCTCTCACCTCTCTCTCTTAAAGGGACATGCCCCACTCTCTCTCCTCCATATTTCTCTCTCTAATTTCCTCTCTCCAAAACCTTAGGTAGTAGTCTATCTCCTCTCTAGACCTAAGTTAATTTTAAGGGTTGGAAAAATTAGAGAGGGCCTAAGTTAATTTTGGTTAGTAAAGATTTTAAGGGGTGGTTACCTAGTTTGGCCGAAATCAGCTATCTCGGTTCAAGATTGAAGCTAGACCACATATCCCGCGTCATTGGATGTGGTGACTCGGTGTGGGGTGTAAAAAGCCCGGTTGAGGTAATCTCTGACATCTTTTCTTTTATTTATTTGTTTTTTTTATTTTATATTCTCAAGCATATTATTATGTTGTATGAATGACATCAAGTAGTTGAGATTTATTTTATTGATGTGTTATTTATTTTTGGAATTTCTATTATTTGTAATAAGACTATCTGTGAGTGATTTTATTGCCAAAATTATAAGGGGTTATTGTTATTAAAAAAAAAAGTTGTATTTCTCCTGCAAAAGATCACATAGGTCTTTCTTTCAAGTCAATAGTAAGAATGGATACTACGATGTGGTAACTGAGCATGGGGATGCTACCACCACGACCCCAGCCCCTTTCCTGCTTAGGATCTACCTTGAAGATCAAGGTTTGCTTATTTTTTGTTCTGTATCCATAAACCTATAGCTCTAAACCCTAGGTATCATACCAATGTAGCACCATAGCAAGTAGTTTATAACTCTTAGGAAAACTTCTAATTTCAATCAAACTACATGTCGAAATCTGTCAAAAGATATCCTAATCGATTCAGACTTATCCAGCACAGGTTCCTGAAAGCCACAAAAACTCGGACCCAACAAAACCCATCCAAATTGGACTAAGGCACTACTTATAAGGTCCACTAAAAGAAGAATGAAGAAGATAGTGAGACAACACCATTTTTTACCTTGACTGACTGAAATTGCACCCCCGGAGGCAATGATTAATGCCTCAACCATATTGCATCAAGGGATAAACGATATCTTACCAAAGCGATAAGACTTATCCGCTACTAAAGTCTCAAAAGTTTAAACTTTTTGAACTAACAAATCCCATCTCAATACGTTGCCTATGTGGATTTGGACCAACCAATCTTATCATCAATGGACACGTGGACCCACACATGCTATGATCAAAAGCGTGTCAAATCGAAATGTGGCACATTTCCCATGCTCATAACAATATGGAACTCTTAAAAAGAATATTTTGGCAAAAAGGAAGAAACGGATTTGAATGAGTAGGCTTTCTATTTTAGGTAAGTGTGAGAACCTTCAAAGTTAGGGTTAACATGGGAATCCCCCAACCTTCCCCTGGGGCAAAGAGGAGAATGTTAGAAGAAGCCCCACCAAGAGATAAGGGTGGCAATCGGGGCCGGGCCTCCCTAGGTCCAACCCAAGCCCAGTCCCGGCCCTATTAGGGTTGGGCCAGCTAAAATCAAATGAAGCTAAAGTAAAAGAAGAAACAAGAAAAAAAGGTCCCGACCGGATAGAACCGGGCCAGCACTGGCCCTAAGGCCATAGTTTTTGGGCCAAGCCTGGCCCTGGCCCTGTTAGGGTCGGGCCAGCCAAAATCAAATGAAGCTAAAGTAAAAGAAAGAACAAGAAAAAAAAGGGCTTCACTGGGCCAGCATTGGCCCTAAGGCCACAGTTTGTGGCCCAAGCCCTAATTTTTTAGGGCCCGGCCACCCAACCCACTGCCAGCCCTGTCAAGAGTGAGATACACTCGCACTGTCATGGGACTTTACCGACAGCCAAGAAAATGTATGACCCATAAGAGAGAGAAGAGAAAGACAGAGAGAAGCTGCACAGGTTTTTCATGCTTTTTCCCTCATCCAATGAAAAATTGGAATCCCAGTCAGGTTTCAACACCCACTAGTAATTCATAGGCCAAACCTAGGCTGAAAGCTGAACACATCAACCCAACACCCAAAAAATGGAGGCTCCACTCACCCATTGCACAAAAATGCCCAATTCCTGCCTAAAGGTCCATGTCAGATGGCACATAGCTGCTTGCCCAGTCAAAAACCATGGCCAGGTACGTCAATAACACTTTTCTTTTTTTAATAATTGTTTTTTACATTATGGACTTTTCTTACCATATTTGTAGTCGCTATATAGGAATCTGTTCATAGCAATATTATGCATTAATGTATAGCCCAATTTGGCTGCAGTATTTTGAGTATGTATGTTGTATATATGTTTCTCTCAATGTAAAAATATAACCTTTTCCTCGTTCCATTCCCAACTCTTCGAATTACTTTATGGAGTCTGCATTGGGAACAAGGGGAGAGTTTTGGTTGCCTCTTAAGAAGGAGTTTTCTTGGTCTAGTGAGGATTTGGTCACTAATTTGCCAGGCCAGCCCATGGTGGGGTTTGAGCACTATGCAGGTTATGTGACTGTGAATGAAGCGAATGGGAGGGCTCTCTTTTACTGGTTCTTTGAGGCTTCTCATCCAGAACAGAAGCCTCTAGTATTGTGGCTCAATGGAGGTAGTATCTATACAAACTATTAAGAGAATTTGGTCATAAGATGTTAGTTCAAAGCATTGAGATATTCTCCAATTTATATGAGACTTATCACCTTGTATTTAACTTCTAGATTTTAGTTGGTAGTCATTTGGGTTTTGCTTTTGATCTTGGTTTTTCAAGAAAAAAAGGTGCTTTGCATGTATTCATGAGGAGAAGGCTATTGTGTGTGTGTCATTTTCAAACTTGCCTTTTCACATTACCAACATGCCCTAAACAACAAGTGGAAACATGTAAATACAAAATTCATTAAAGTTTAAAAGACCATGGGACACCAAAAAGTATAGGCACGGACGCACTCGTCTTCGCAGCCACTTTTGAAAGGAGCTTGAATATTTATTTATGAAAATGTTCATATAAAATTTCAACCTTAGTTGAGGGATTGTCTGTTTCTTTTGTAGCGTGATGGTTTAAAATCCGTCACATAGTTCAAGAAAGTTTGTTGTAGACTTTCTTCCAAGTCAATGACACACCTTTAGCCACTTCATTTCAAATCTAATGGTTGATCGTGATTGATGATGTGAAATCTGATTGTTTAAATGGTGTTATATAGTTTCAAGAAAGTTTATTGTGAACTTTGTGCCATGAGACACCTTCAGCCACTTGATTTCAATGGCCGACAATGATTATGACTTTCTTGAATGAAAGTAAATGAACCTATTATCTACATTTTCAAGGAAAATATAACCAGCTTTGTATTCACATTATTGTAATAGAAAAATAATAATAAATGCACCTAAGTTCATCAGGACACGATTTGCTTTTCTTTCATTCTTTTCATTCAATGCTTTTCTGTTTTTCTATTTGATTTTTTTAGGCAATTCAATAGAGAAGACAGACCCTTACCCATTAAAAATGAGTAGGGTAGCTTTAGTGGTGGATATGAAAACCACCTCATGGTGACTATGGCCTAAGGTGGGTGCTAGGCACCATGACCCCAGCCCCTTTTCCTTTCTGTTTTGTATCTTTCCCTGAGCTGGGTTATGATGGTACATGTGAGTCATGTTTTGCAGGTCCGGGGTGTTCTTCAGTGGGTTACGGGGCAACACAAGAGATTGGTCCTTTTTTGGTGGATTCCAAAGGCCTTTTAAGCTCAACCCTTTCGCTTGGAATGGGGGTAGGTGGTCACCTCCAGTGTTGTAAAGAGAGACTCGAGCCTGGTGCTGCCACCCAGGCTCAAGCTGAGTACTCGGCCCGAGTAGGCCAAGTTCTTGTCAAGGCAAAATAATGTTAAAAAAAAAAAAAATTCAAAAAATATAATAAAGTATTTTTAAAGTAAAATTAAACAAAACACATCTAAATGCCGATAAAAAATTAATAAAACATAGATTCCAGAAAAAAAAAAGTCAATTTGTGGTAGGTAACTTTAGATATAATAAAAGGGAAAGGTTTCTATATTTCACCTACAACATAGAAGATCTATGCTTCCTCTACCATCCAGCTATCCAATTTTGATCAAGAGAGCCACTCACCATTTGATCTTAGATCCGATGTCTCAAAGTATTTTATTTTCAGTTTTTTATACAAATTGTATGAATATAAAATTTGGTAGGTGTCATCTTCTCATTGGGGCGTACCTATTAAAAATATTAAAAATAATTTTTTGATAAAATATAATGACCAAAATACCCCTGAAAGCTTTTAGGGATATTTTGATTATTTTATTTTATTGAAAATATTGTTTTTATATTTTTTAGTAGTGCGAGTATAATAGGATTGGACGTCCAGAATGTAGTGTCAAAATAGTTTATAGAAAAAAATTTAAAAATAAAATAGTGTAGAGAGGTGACATTGTGATTGGGGCAACCTTAACCCTACATTCTGGATGGTTGGATAAGATGAAGTATATAAGTTTTATGTTGTAAGGAAAACGTAGAAAGCTTGTCCATAATACAAAAGGCTCTAGTTAACATAGAAATGTGGTTTCAACATCAAGAATCTTTGTGACATCCTTAAAATATATTTTCATATCTAATTATAAAATTTAATGTTTAAAACATAGTGTAGGTCAAGCATATCTATAAAAAATTGAAAAACTTAAAAATTAATGTTCCAAAAATGCATCAACAAATGCACTAGTTCCAAAACTTGAAAAAAAAAAATTTCTCATGTCCATCCATCTTGATGTTGAGATATTCATTTGAGGATATTTGGGCATCAAAACGACTTCTTCTAGTGACATTTTTGAGATGGGCTCTAATTTGATTGTTTAGAGCCTCGGCTCTATATAAACTTTTTCCTAATAAAAAATATATATAAAAAAATAAATACTCATACCCAAAATACTTTTTCATCTTTACCAACACAATAGAAAAAACATGACAGAAAACATATTACTAAATAATTTCTTTCATTTTTTTTTTAATTTTTTTTAAGATCCTAGGTGAGTCCAAGCTGGCTCGCTTGGGTAATCAAACACTAGTTTTCTCCACTTTCCTGGTCCCCATTATCTAACTCCCTCGCCCCAGTAAAATTCTTTCACTACACTCGATTGCAGTAGCCAATATTGTATTTCTGGAGTCACCAGTCGGTGTGGGATTTTCTTATTCAAATACCACCTCAGACTACAAGCTTCTTGGTGATGATTTTACAGGTATG